GTGTGTGTGTGTGTGTGTGTGTGTGTGTGTGTGTGTGTGTGTGTGTGTGAGACAGTGTGAATGTTAGGGCTGGGAGAAGGGTCCATGACTGGGGCATGTTTATGTGAGTGTTAGGGCTTCTCTCACACCTGGCCCACCTCTTTCCCAGCCTGTCTTCCTCTCAGCCTCCTTCTGCCCATATCTCACCACATCTTCCTGTATCACCCTTTTTCTCCTTCAGCTTCTTTTCTTGTTTTGTCCTCTTCACCCCCAGCCCTCCTAGACCTGCCCTTATGTTCTAAGCTCGTTTTCTGCACTTTGACCCATCTCTTCCTTCCTCAGTCCGTTTCTAGTTGTTTGTCTGCTCATTTTCCCTTCTTTATCCAACCTACCTCTTGTGACCTGACACTACATTCCTCTCTCCTATCCACAGAGTAGGAGATATAGCGCCTGTTCGTTCTCCATCCCCTGGTGAGCTTCGGGTGCTGTCCCCTTCATCCCCACTGAGTCCTGAGCCCCCTGGGGCTGCAGTGCCTCAGCCTCTACAGCCCGGAAGCCTACGATCACCCCCAGACAGTGAGGCATATTATGGGGAAACAGACAGTGATGTGGATGGCTCTGCCACCCAGGAGAAGCCCCGTCGTCCCCGTCGCCGAGGTCCCACCAGGCCCACACCTCCAGGGGCCCCACCAGAAGAGGTCTCTTTATCTGACAGCCCTGCAGAGCCTGCCCCAGCCTCTCTGGAGTCCCCAGCTCTGGGAGGCAGCCGTATGAGTTCTCCATCCTGGGAAGATGGGACATCTATTCAACCGACTCCAGCTGAAGCTCTGTTATTACCTCATGGCCCACTCCGACCTGGGCCCCATCTCATCCCCATGGTGGGGCCCGTGCCTCACCCAGTGGCTGATGATCTCACCACCAGTTACACCCAGAAAGCCAAGCAAGCCAGTGAGTGACTGACACCCTTCCTCAAAGCTTGAAACTCAAATCTCTCTTTAAGCCCACATTCTAGGCTTTTCCTTCTTCCTACCTCATCTTTTCCCTTGAATTTGTTCTGAGAGAGCAGGCAAGGAGAAATGGTAGTGGTAAAGGGGAATAATGACCATTTCCCTGCTCCCCCCATTTGAGTGTGGGTTTTTTCTCCTCCTTGATTCCGGATAGTGAGAAGGCTCAGCTGGATCAACTCAGGAGCCAGAAAGGGACTCTGGGGAGGGAGAGGAGGGAGTATGAACAGACGCAGAGATGTTTGCTGTTTGGCAGAGCAGGGGAAGATAGACATGGAGAGTGCTTGGAGGTCATGTTAGAAAACGTCAGGGTTATTTGTAGGTACGATATCAGAGCTGGTAAAGAAAGTTGGGAGGACGAGTCAAGAGAATTTGTAAGGAAAGTTAGAAATAGTGGAGCCTGTGAAACTAGGGTGAAATCATGGGAGACCTGGTAAATGGGGAAGGGCAAAGAGAGAGATCTCCAGCTCTTTATTTCTGGCAAGAATGTGAATCTGTGTAGAGGAGGCCAGTAAGTACCACTTATCTCAGGCTCTTTGCTATTTTTGATGTGGACTATAGAACAGGGTCTAAGAATACCACCCCCAGGACTTCCCTGGAATGCCAGAAGCCTCTGACAGCCCCTAACTTCCTCCCTAGCCACTATTCTAACTCCAGATTTCAGGACCACAAAACTTCACAGTTCAGGGTTTAGGCAGACAGAGCACCATGATTTAGAGAGAGTCTCAGATCCCTAGAAGGTTTCTAAACTGTATAAAGAGACTCCCACATCTCCAACAGGGATCCATGCCTAGTGTTCTATCCTTGTTGAAATTCTTATCCTTGTCTCCTATCTTCCATCTCCTCCCCCTTGCGCCTCAACTCCTAGTATATTATTCTATGGGCCAAGGATATTTTTAACCAGGCAGTTCTCATGCTGCTGGCCCAAGAAACTCATTGTTTGATGGGAGGCAGGCAGATGCTTACGTCCATCATAGCAGGACTTGTGGTGGGGTGGGGTTAGGGGAGGGGGACTAAGGACCAAAAATAGCCCAATGAGCTCACTCAGCTGTCAGCTCTGAGGCCAAGACAAAGAGGCTTTAAAAGGTGTTGGGGAAGGCCCAAGCTGGTCCTGCTCCAAACAACGGTGCCTTGATCAGCATGGAGACCTTCAAACCTCTCAGCCAGGAGCCCCATAGCCAAGTCAGCTGCGACAAGGCCCCAGGCTCTGGATCTGAGCGGCAGGACCAACCATATGCAGGTATCACCCGCCCATATTGAAAGGATGCACAGGAACTGGGATGGTGGGGTAGCATGGGGAACCAGGGGTGGGAGGTCTAAAAGGTTGCATCTCTTCTCTCTCTCATCTTTCCTGTTCTCCTTCCCTCTTCTCTGAATAACAAGCTGGGGCTGCCTCCCTTTTCAAGAAATGAGCTGATGTTCACATCAGGGAAAATGTTCATGGGCACACCTTTGTAATATAGGGCACATGAGGACAGCAGGTGAACAACAGTTGGTATTTGTGAATGTGTGTGGAGAAGAGTGAGAACGCATTTGAGAGTGCTTATTTTTGAGCATGTGTGCAAGCGTTTGTATGGTTCCACATGAACAGAGAAAATGTGTAAGGATGAGAGCCCAGAGGGGGAATGTATGTATATGTACACGTCAAGAATCTATGATGTGTTTTATAGATTGGGGTAGGGCCCTAACAATGAAGTGGCTTGGTACCTTGAGTGCAAGGACAGTAAGGGCCTAAGAATTGGAGGATATGGGCTGGGGACCCAGGAATAGGTGGTATCTCAGTCCTAGGCGGGGTCATGGGCTGAACTGGGCATCAAACGAATGCCTTTCTCATCTCCTGGCCCCGCCCTACCCCATGGTGCTGAGAAGGAACAGCAGCTGTGCGTTCCCTTTTGTTCACATCCCCTCCTGGTGTAGTGGCTTCAGGGCAGCTCTGGCCCAGGAGGACAATATCCTTCATGCCATCGCCTCCTTCACCTCCAACCTGATTGGGGGATGAGGGTGGAATTCAACTGGTGATTCTGAAGTCTCAACAACCCACATCACTTGTGAGTAGTATTGGGTATGGAGTTTGAGGGGTTATGCTTGAGAGTAGGTTAGCTAAAATCAGCGGGAACCACTTCATAAATTGTTAGCTGGATACAGAGAGACCTCCCTCCCCACAGGAGAGGGACACATAGAATGTGTGTAAGTGGGAGTGTGTATGTGTGAAGGTGACAGGGTATAAGAGCCAGTCTGTAAATTCTCGTTCAGTTGAATTTAGTCTGTGTTGGGTAATGGGAGGCAGTGTTCTCTTCTTACATGGCCCCTCTGGAGGAGGAGGGTGCCCCATCTTATCTTCTTTGTCTCCTTGTTTTATCTCTCTGCCTGTGAGAGGTGACACTAGTCAAGGCCAGGGAAGGGTTAGGAATGTTGGGGGCAGGGAGGGAGCTAAATGGAGCACTGCTTTGGGAGGACAAAAGCAGAGCTAGGAGAATGAGGGCCGAGGAGCAGAGACAAAGGGACTGGGAAGAGGGCAAAGGCCAACCGTTGGTGGAAGGTTTGTCAGTTAGGTCAGCTAGATTCTGACTTTGCTCTAGTTGCCCTTGGTTTCACCTTCAGCCCCTAGCAGCAACCCCACCTTACCCCCTCTACACGTGGATGGGTGTGTGGCCTTTGGATGTGGGAAATGGAATAGTGTAGCAATGGGCTTTTCTTTAGGCAGGAGACAGCAGATGGTCAATATGCCTTGTAAGGCCTGGAGGGTAGGGAGTAAAGAAAATAGGAGGCTGCCCTGGGCAGGGAAGAGCCCCCAGGACTCAGCTGTCTGGAGTGGGGAACAGGGCTTCTTGGACGGTGAGGGAACCTCAGATAAGCTCCACAATACCCACTGACCATTCCCCTCCCTTCACTTCCTTCAGAACTACAGCGCACAGAAAGTGTGCAAGAGAAGAACATAAAGGAAGCCAAGACCAAATGCCGGACGATTGCATCCCTGCTGACAGCTGCGCCCAACCCCCACTCCAAGGGTGTGCTTATGTTTAAGAAGAGGAGGCAACGGGCCAAGAAGTACACCCTGGTCAGCTTTGGGGCTGCAGCAGGAGAGGGAGCCAGGGCAGGGGGTGAGGAGGAAGAGGAAGACGGCATCCCCCCGACCAGTGAGTCTGAGCTGGAGGAGGAGACCTTCTCGGATGCCCGAAGCCTCACTAACCAGTCAGACTGGGATAGCCCCTATCTGGACATGGAACTGGCCCGTTCAAGTTCAGGCACAGCAGAAGGGCAAGGACCAGGGCCAGGGGGCGGCCTCAGTGAAGCTTCAGGAAGAGGGGCACGGCTTTTTGAGCAGCAACGGCAGCGGGCAGCCTCTAGCTCCCTGGAACAACCTAATGATACCCCCCCAGCCCTGATGAATGGGAGGGGCCCCCCACCCCCACGGCCCCAGAGCACCCCCCCAGAGGTAGCCTTGTTACCCCCCAGCCCAATGCCAGCCCCTGCCACCAGTCCCATTCCTTTAGCCCCTGGGGGAGGAGCCCCTCTCCCAGCCACAGGCATTTTCAATCGGTCAGCAAGGCCGTTCACTCCAGGATTCCAAGGGCAGCGCCCAGTCACCACGTCAGTTGTTTTTCGTCCCCTCGCCCCAAAGAAGGCAAATGAAAGCCTCAGGAGTCCCAGTCCTGTTCTTCCCCCCTTCTTGTCACCACCCCAAGGTCCCAGCCTTACCCCCAGCTTCTCTACCCCAAAGGATCGTGGCAAGATACCAGTCTCCATCTCCACCAATGCCCAGGGTTCCTCAGGCCCAGTGACAGCTACCACCTCCTTATATATCCCTGCCCCAAATAGGCCCATCACACCAGGAGGTCCCCCTGACTCTCAGGCCTCTCATAACACAGCCATGACCTCTACTGCTTCCATCTTCCTGTCTTCTCCCCTGAGGCCTACTGGACTCCCCACGGCATCCAATCCAAGTAACCCTGCCCCTGAGGCTCCTAGTACCCGGGAGCAGAGAATATCTGTGCCTGCTCCCCGCACAGGCATCCTGCAGGAGGCCCGGCGCCGAGGAGGGCGTAAACAAATGTTCCGTGGAGGGAATGAAGAGAAAAAGAATTCACCCAACCCTGAGCTGCTGTCATTGGTACAGAACTTGGATGAAAAACCTAGGGCAGGAGGGACTGAGTCTGGTCCTGAAGAGGATGCCCTGAGCCTAGGGGCTGAAGCCTGCAACTTCATGCAACCTACAGGAGGCAGAAATTTTAAGACCCCACCCCCTGTGATACCTAAAACCCCACCCCCTATGGCACCTAAGACCCCACCCCCTGTGGCACCCAAGCCTGCACCCCGCGGTCTTCCTGATGGTCTGGTAAATGGGACTGTTCCCTCCACAGGCGTCCTTCCCGAACCACCTAGGCTACAGGGCCGAGGTGGAGAGCTATTTGCTAAGAGGCAGAGCCGGGTAGATAGGTATGTAGTGGAAACCACACCTGGTCCTGGTGCTGGCCCGATCTTCAGCTCCCGACCCCGAAGCCCTTCTCCTACCCCTTCATTGCCTCCTTCATGGAAATACTCCCCTAATATCCGTGCCCCACCTCCCATTGCCTACAATCCACTGCTTTCTCCATTTTTCCCACTGGCTGCCCGGACCCTTCCCAGCCGAACGCAGCCTCAGGGATCCCGAGCAACCCCAAAGACAGGCATTAAGGCCATCGACTTCATGAGGCATCAGCCCTACCAACTCAAAGCTGCCATGTTCTGCTTTGATGAGATTCCTCCAACCCCTAGCCCTATTCCCCCAGGGTCTTCTAAGACCACTAAAGTCCACGAGATACGTAGATTCTCCACACCGGCTCCCCAACCCACTTCTGAGCCCCTGGCCCCAACTGTGCTCACTCCTAGAGCGGCCACTTCACTGGATGAGCCCATGTGGAGAGTAGAGATGCCCTCAGCTCCTATTCATGCCCCTAGCTCAGCTCCAACTCTAGAGTCTGCTCGAAGTCTTGGAGCCTCCCCTGGCTCCTGCAGCTTTCAGGTGGCCAGACCCCGGTTCTCAGCTGCCAGCTCTGGATTGCAGGCACATGTGTGGAGGCCTGGAGCAGGCCATCAGTGAATTGAGCACAGCCAAGGGAGCCAGAAAATAGAGCACATAGCAAGGTCTCAGAGCTGTTTCTGCCACCCCAAATCCTCCTCCCTAGATACCTGGAGAAAGTTCCCCTGCCAGGGTAGGCTTGGTACTTCCTTTCCTGGTACTTTCTATCTGTCTAGCTTTCTCTGCTTTGATATCTCTCGCCTCTTTTTTTTTCTAGCTTGTGTGTCTCTGCCCATCTCTCTGCCTTTTTCTCCCTACTCATTCTGTTATTGTGCCTGTCTGTCTGTGTCTCTGTCCTTTGATGCTTTGCTTCTTTCTGTTGGCCTCCTTTTACATGTAGTGAGTTGACTGAACCCACATGCAAAGAGAAGGCACTGCTCTTGTAGCCTTAGGCCTGGGTAACTGATGAGAGAAGGAACCTGCTGCCTGACAGGTAGTAGAGAGACCAGATTCTGGTCCTTGCCTGTTCTGGGCCCCTCCTTTCCCCTCTTTCCCAAACCTGGCTCATACCTGGGGCCATTGTGTTGTGTGTACCTAAGGTGAGGAGGAGTAGGGAGGCAAGTTCCAAGCTGGGTTTTACCCACTGCTCTGCTAAGGTCATGTATAGAAAAAAAAGCCTTTTTTGTTAAAGAGAAACTGAGAGATCATTTGTTTATCTCTCACAGGTGATCTGTATAGTACCCTGCAAAACTAAGAGACAGTTTTTTTGGAAATGAGGGAATTTTAACAGGATACCTGTTGAGATGGCTTTCTCATCCCTAAAACCTTTTCTCTTCCCAGTATATACTCCTAGCCTTCCTTAGACCTCAGTCAACCACCCTTGCTACTGGGGGGTAGGGTGGGTAAAGAGTTGGGTATGGGAGTAGAGAAATTGTTGACCCAGGGCAACTTTGGGGAGGGAAGAGGGGTAAAAGGAGATAGAATAAGTTTATTTGGAGTGAAGACAGATTCCTCAGGATGGGAGGAGAGTGGGAATCTCCAAGGGGCTATGTTAATGTGACCTGAGTAGCGGGTTGTAAAGAATGGAAAACTTCTTCTGAGCAAGGAAGAACCATTGGCTTCTTGATCTCATGGATCTAAGTCAGAAAGGAGCTGCTGCTCTAGGACGAGGCGCTTGGAACAGAAACTGGGGGCAAAAGAGAAGCTGGAGTGACTAGGCCAGAGTGAGACAAAGTGCTTGGGTGTGAGAATGGGTGTTGGCAGAATGAAAGTGGGTAAAGACAGATCGTTCGGGAGAGGGGAAGTATGACAGAACCTAAGGGACAGGAGTTGTTAGCAGATTGAGGGAGGGATGACAGTAGAGTGTATATTGGTAAAGTACAATAATAATAATAGTTAACATTTGTACAGAACTTACAATGTGTCAGGCACTGTGCTAAGTGCTTTACAAATATCTCATTTGAGCCTCATAGCTTTGGGAGGCAGGTGCTATTTTTGTCCCCATTTTACGGATAAGAAAACTGAGGCAAATGGCGGTTAAGTGAGTTGCCCCACATCACACAGCTAGTAAATGTCTGAGACTGAATTGGAACTCAAGTCATCCTGACTCCAGGCCTAGTGCTCTATCCACTGCATCATCTAGCTGCCTCCAAGTACATCAGGAGAAGTTCATCAAAGCCTGTGCTGTTTCTTTTGTGTTTATCCTTCAGTCTGTATCACTGTTGCAGGCACTATGAGCACCTAGGTAGGGACAGGAAAACATCCAGAACCACAGTCTCCTGGCCCTTCCCATTCCCATAGGATTTATGTCCCTATTTCCCTGCTTTAGGCTTTAGACCCTGATTGCTGAGCCAGGGGTGGGGGTGAGAGGTTAAGAGGAAGGGGAGCAGAATATGGGATACACTGTCTCTAGGGATTCCTCCTCCAACCACTTCTGCTGCTTAGTTTTTAAATTGTTTCCCTTATATCTCAGGTGTGAGTCACTCTACTTTGATTTGTGCACAGTAATAAACTTGTATTCCACATCTTATTAGTTACCTTGCCTCTCAATCATCTCCCCAGTTTCTACACAACAACCTCTTCTTTGCTTGTTCTTCAGTTCCCCTTGGTTCCTATTCCTTCCCTGCTTTCCCCATCCCTCTGCCTCCTTTTCCCTATTCTCCCCCATGTCCCTCTTCTTATTCATTCTGCTTGGACCTTTTTTTTTATTTTTTTTTGCTTTTCTCCGTCATCTACCAGTAATACACACACACACACACACACAAACTTTCTCCACTTCCCTCGAGTACTGCACAAGAGAATTGAATTGGCTCTGCAGCTAGAACTGAGAGATCTTTGAGACCCCAGGTCGTGTTGTCCCTATATTTTTGTCCATCACTGGGAATCTTGGGGTGGGCCTGGTGATAGTGAAGAAAGCCCAAGACTGGCTAGAAAGAAAAGATCACCACTTTGGGGGGGGGAGGGGGAGGCTCTTAGGGATAGGAGAGTGCCATACTTCCTATCCTGTCAGTAGGGGGCATGCTTGTGCCACTAATCAGACCAAGACTCCGTGAAAGGTCCATGCAGTCATGAAATTTCCATAGAAACCTAAGGTGTAGGCAGGAGAGCATATGGGCACTCCCATCTCACCAGGTGGTTCTAATCAATCACAGAAACCAGTATTTGCTGGATTGCGTTTTTTTTAAAACTTTGAATCAGGGTAGGTGGGTAGGAATGAGGATAGAAAGTAAAGGACAGGTAGTAGGAACCCAGATTGATTTGGGTAGCACTCCAAAAATGCAGACCGCAGGGTGGTGGGAGGTGTTCCGGGATTTAGGGAGCCATTCTCTAAAGTAGCTAAAGTTGAACAGGGAATAGGTCAGGGACATGGACAAAAGGAGTGTTGGGAGATAGATCCCAGATGCAAATGTAAATACAATGGAAAGTGCTGGGGCAGGTATAGACAGAACAGGGTGAAGTGTAGGGTTTGAGGGGGATACAAAATAGAATTCTCTCAAAGGGGTTCTTAAAATTAGATCATTAGCTGGATCAGTATAGGGTAGTATAATAATGATATATAATATATAATGACTACATATATACATATATATGTGTATAAAATGATAGTAACAATAATAATACGGACTTCTGGTTTAAGATTGAGAAGTCCTGGCAGGGCTACTGGGGAGTGTGAGGCTGGTGAATCACTTGAGCTCTGAAATTCTGAGCTGCTGTGGGGCTAAATCTGGACCCAGGATGGTGAGCTCCACTGGGCCAGAAGGGGTGAACCCACCCAGGTCAGAAGCTGAAATCAAAGTTTCCAGTCTGATCAGCAGTGGGGTCAGCTCACCAGTGGCTGTGGCACTTCCAGCCTGGGTAAGATAAGGAGACCCAGGCAAAAAAAAAAAAAAAGAATCGAAGTCAGGTAAAAGAACCTGAAAGTCGGGGAGACCCAAAGAGAGCTGGCAGGGCTGGAGAACCTGAAAGTATTTCTTGGGCCTTGTCATTCAAAACTTCTGAGCTCCAGACTCGACACTCACAAAAACAAACATTGGCTTACAAGAGCTGGGGGCCAAGAATCCACCTGCCTTCTCTCAAAAAAGCTGTTGGAAACTCTGGAGCAGAGTTTAGACAGGAGAAAGGGAAAGGTGTAAATTGTAAAAGGAGAAGGTGGAAGGGGCTGGACCCACAAGCTCTGGGGGCCTGTCTGATGTTCATTCAGGGGCCCCCTGGGAGATAGGGATCTACTTGAAGGTGAGACCTGCTCCTCTTCCTCCAGCCAGAATAGCCTTCTGCATGTTCAGAACATCTAAGATTTCAGTCACAGTGAAATCGCTTTTCTTTTCCTCACTGATCTTTCCAGGTTCCCTCTGCACACCTCAACCCCACCTCTACCACTTCCCCCCAGGTCCCCCATGGAGTCACTGTTGACCTCCGTAGCTTTTTCTCCAAAATAAGACCCAAATATCTCTTCAACTCTCCCTTCCCCTTCACTTCACCCCACGGACTTCTTTGTCCTAGGAGCTTTTTAGGTCTTTATCTCCGGATAACGGGGAGAGGAAGATGGACAAACAGGGCTCAGATCAATCTTGAATACAGCTCAGACAACTCGGTTGAGTCCGAGAGTCCTCTCTGTGCCTGGAGGGCGGGGTCTTAGACCCAGGGTCTCAGTATTCCCCAATGCCATCTGAGCTGCTCTCACTCATCATCTCTATTAATAACCCCCCCCCTCCACTGCCCCCACACCCGCCCAGCTCAGGTTCTCAGGTCAGAGCTGCTCAGCTCTCCACAGCAACTGGACCCCTGGGGGAGAACTGACCATACGGGTTCCTGCCACATACTCCCAACCTGTTCAGCCTGGGGGTCTGAAGCTCCCAGTGGGGCTGGTCCTGGGTCTGTGTCTGCAGCTGTGACCCTTGGTGAGTGCCACACCACCCTCTTCACCCAGCTGTCCCATGGAGGCGGGGGGTGGGGGGTGGGTGGAGAATGTATGAAGTAAGGATCATCAGGAAGACTGGAAGAAGAACCAGGGAGTTTAGGGAGCAGGGAATGAAGGATGCAGGTTGGACAGCTTTGAAGTGGGGTTGGCTGGGCCAAAGAGATGGGGGAAGGGCACTGGAAAAAGGGGAAAAGGGGCTCAGAAAGTCTGGAGCTGAGTGGGAATGGAGAACTAGGAGAGGGTGTTCAAGGAGGTGGGGATAAGTTCATCAAAAGGCTTTAACTTTAACCTGACTAGGGTGCTCGCCCTTGCAAAATATAAAAATTGTAGCTGGGGTGGAGTTGGCGGGGAGTGGATTGAGCAGAAGCAGAGATTGTGCTGAGTTGCCATTTCTGTCTGGGAGGGACTGGGGCCCATGCCCAGAGTAGAGCTGGGGGCAGATGTTTGGTCCAACTCATCTCCCACTCTGCTCCCAGATCTAATTACAGAGACTTCTACACTGCTGCCCTCCTCATCCAGTTTCCTACTCCTTTGAGATTATTGAACTATTCAGAGTTAGGGATCAGAGGGACCCTTGAGGGGAGACCCCTAGTGTTAGGGTAAGGTGAGCTGGAGTGTTGGGAGAAGGGAGTTCAATTGTCTCTTAAGGGCAAAGTCCAGTGGACAGTTCCTTCTCTCCAAAGGAAATAATTTTGGCAGAAACTCATTTGCCTTGGCAGAATGGGCTCCAGATTCCAGCCCTCTCGGGCACTTTCTTGACACTTTAGTGTGACCTATCACTAGCTCTAGTCCTAACTCAGAATTTGGAATCACACCAAGGCAATGGAGTCTGTCTAACGTCATGCCTTTTTCATATTTTCCTATGCTAGCTGGGGTTACTCATGGAACCCTGGGTCAGTTAGGTGGGGAGTAGGGGAAGAAACTATGTAGAGCACCTACATAGTAAGAAGAGGAAAAGAAAGAAACCTTAAAAGGGGATAGAGGCAGTTGTAAAGACTTACTCTTTTTGGTCCATCCTCTAGACTTACCAGCAGGCTGACCTGAACACCTTCTATAATGCCACTCTCAGGAACTCCAGCCCCAAATAAGAGGCGGAAACCCAGCAAACTCATCATGGAGCTCACTGGAGGTAGGCCAGAGACACCTCCACATAAAACAGGCACTCCCTCTCCCTCACCCCCCAGACAGATACGCAGACAGGCACACCATCTGTGAGCAGTATCATAAATCCATATGCCCTGGGAGTCAGGGCAGGAATTTTCTTAGGAGAGGGAGCCTCTGGTATGGGAGGCCTACCCTTTAAGGATGGTCACTCTTTTAGGGATGCACCCTTCTGCTTCATTTTGACCAAAGCTCCATAAGGCATTATGTCTCTAGGAAGTAAATCCTTCTGAGGCTCTGGGAATCACTAATAGTTGGACTGACTGGGTGGGTGCCCCTGGTAGTATAATTCATGGATGGCAAGGAATGCCAGAAGTGCCCAGGGAACACGTAAGCAGAGCAGTTGGATGGAATGAAGGGCATTTCCCTATCTTGAAGTGGCCACATTCAGGCAGATTTGTTCCAAAATTCATTCTTTCCCTCTTCTACCCTCTATTCTATATTGTCCTCTAAGCTCTATCCTTCCCCCACCTCTATATTCCCCCTTTGCTCCTCTATTGTCCCTGCCCCTTCAAGTCCCTAGCCCATTTATTCTCTCCTTTGTACCCCTTTCTTCTTAACTTGAAGCCTGGGGGTAAAAACACACTCCTAACATGGGAAAGATTCTGCTCTGGTATCAAATACTGCCCACTCCCCTAAACGCTCTGAGATAAAGGGCTGGTCTAGCTTATATGCCTTTCTCTTGTTAAATTGAATTGAAAGCATGCATGACTACTTGCTATGCCCAAAACCTGCACTTGCTTCATTTCTCCTCCCCTCCCCTTTCTTCCCAAGGTGGGCAAGACAGTTCAGGTTTGAACCTGGGCAAGAAGATAAGTGTCCCCAGGGATGTTATGCTGGAGGAACTATCATTGCTCACTAACCGTGGTTCCAAGATGTTTAAGCTCCGGCAGCTTCGGGTTGAGAAATTTATCTATGAAAACAACCCTGATGTCTTCACCGATAACTCAGTGGTGAGCTCTGTACTCCCCAAATCACCCAAGCCCAAACAGTTCTGTCATGAACCTCAGATCCCTCTGTCTCCTATGGCAGTTCTGTGCTGAACCCTAAATCCTGAACCCCTTTAAAGCCTTAAGTCCTAAGCCTTTTCCAACAGCTCTGTGGTGAGCCACAGACTAGTATGGGCCAGGGTCCTTCCTCATCTAGGAAGGGGAATAATCCATGGTAGTGTTGGGGAGGGCAAGGAAAGGAGACTTTGCTGTCTTGTTGCTGCTCTTTACCTGAACTATCCCAGATTTGGGAGCTTTGGAGAAGCTGTCCCTTTTAGATTCCCTTCCTCCAGGCTCATGTCCTATACCCAAGAAGCTGGAGAGGTGTATTTTATGTGAGAAGCCAGACTTTTCTTGTAGAGTGGGAGCAGACAGCCACAGAAGGGTAGGGATAGAGCTGCCATCATCCATCTGCCCCTCTGTGGCAAGAGGCCTGGCACAATGAAGTCACTGAGCTGTTCAAGTCTAACTTTAGGGAGCCAAAAAGCACTTCTTCCAGCTTGGGATCTTATTGCTCTGCAGTGGGGGTAGGGGATGCAATTTGTGGTTCGTGGGGAAGGTCCTGAGAGCCTCCTGAAGGAGCTGGCTGGGGGTTATTTTTAGGCCTTTCGACCGAGGCTCATGTTGTCCTTTTGGCCACCCTCTCTTTTGCCTTAGCTATGGTTTCACTGTCAGGGAGATCCTGTCTAGCAGCTACTGTCAAAACCCAGGCTGACTCATCATCCCTGAGGGGAAGAAGGGTGTCAGGGGTATCACTCTGCTGCTGTTGGACGTAATGGGGGGTGGTGGTGGAAAAGGGGCCTTTTCCAGCCACTTCCCCATGGAAACTTCAGTCCTTTGTGGCATTCTTAGCCCACTGGGCCATTTTTATTTCTCTAATTATAGCTGAGTTGACAGGTGTCCCAGGCTTCTTTGCTTTGGTGAGAGACTGGGGAGTGGGGAAGATGGTGATGAACTTACTTCCTTGCACTAAGATGTAAAGCTGGGGAGGCTGCCTCCTGTCCTTAGGGCTCATCCTCCCTCATTCCTCGTTCTTGTCTCAGCCCTCAGGTGGGTCCAGTCACTAGGTTGTCTGGTATACATGTTAAGAAGGTGTCATCTCTGGAGATTGGAAGTACCCTAATGGGCAAATATCTTTGATTATTTCCTTTCCCTTGCTCTCATTATTGCCTCTTTACCACCCGGTCCTCTTCCTCTCTTTTTAGGATCGTTTCCAGAAGTTCCTCCCCACAGTGGGGGGACAACTGGGCACAGATGGTCAAGGATTCTCCTATGGAGCTGGAGGCAGCAGGGGCCAGATGGGGGGCAGCGGTTCTGCTGGACAATATGGCTCTAACCAACACCAGCATCACCAGGGCTCTGGGCCTGGGTCAGGGGGCAGAGGAGGCCCTGGGAGCCAGGCTGGTGGGGGAGGGGACGGCAGAGAGGGTGACAGTGCGGCAGGGACAGGTAAGTAGTCCATCTCCCAGATCAAGCTCTTTAGACCCAAAGCATAGCTTCTCCCCTATCCTCCACCCCGAGAATGAACAAGCATCACTTGACAAGTATTTATTAAGTACTTGTTATGTGTCAAGACTGCGCTAAGTGCTAGTGATACAAATACAAGTAATGAAATAAGCCCTACTAGCAAAGAGCTTACATTCTGAGTATAGGCCCAGATATTTGGATGGTCCTTGGTATATGTGAAAGTGTGGAGCTACTGCCTATGGGCAAAGATTCTTGGGAGCCTTGTCCATCTTTCTGGCTTTGAGGTTTAGTCACGTAAACAAACATCTGTCTGCCTTGGGCCCAACCTCCCATTAGGACCCAAGTGCCTCCCAGTCAATCCCTAGGGTACTGACGCTTTTTGTTTCTTGGCTTTTGGCTAAGGCATTTAATTTTATTGGTTCAAGTTCCCTGTTGAACTAGTATGTTTGTTCTCTTTTCTCTCCATCCCCACCCCTGTACCCCTTGGCTCACAGGAGACCATGCAGGAGGAAATGGGAAACACATCACTGTGTTTAAAACCTATATCTCCCCATGGGAGCGAGCCATGGGTGTTGATCCCCAGCAGAAAGTGGAACTTGGCATCGACCTGTTGGCCTTTGGAGCCAAAGCTGACCTTCCTCACTACAAATCTTTCAACAGGTGCGGACTAGGGGCAAAGGAGTGGGGAAGGTGGGAAAAGGGTAGAATGAGTGCAGAACAAAATGGAACAGAGAATTAGCTTCTAGGGGAAATGTTATCTGCTGGAAACTGCTTTCCATACCCCTGGCCGATGACTCTTGTTCTGAAGCATATGACTTATTCTTTTTCCAGGACAGCGATGCCTTATGGTGGATATGAGAAAGCATCCAAACGCATGACTTTCCAGATGCCCAAGTTAGACTTGGGACCTTTGTTGAGTGAACCCTTGGTTCTCTATAGCAACAGCCTCTCCAATAGGCCCTCTTTCAATCGCACTCCAGTTCCCTGGCTGAGCTCTGGGGAACCTGTTGACTACAGTGTGGATGTTGGGATTCCCCTGGACGGAGAGACTGAGGAGCTATAAGGAGCTCCCTTCCACCTTATTAAGCCTCAAGGTCCCCTGTCCTGATCCCAAACAATGTAGGGAGGAGTTACTATGCAGCGCACCTCCAGCTCTAAGTCCATGTGTTTGTGGGAATGAGGGAAGAACAGAAGGAGGGAGAGCTCTCCCTTGATTCACCAATCCATGTTCCCACTTGAAGCACCATTTCCCTAGACACAGGACTCCCCAGTCAACTGTTCTGTCACAGGTAATGCTCAATAAACGTCTTCAAACAAACTCACTCTTCCTCTACTTGAAAGTCAGAAAAAAAGCTGTTAGTTATGCGCTGAGACTAACTAGAACCAAACAGTAGATAACCCAGTGTCTTGCACACAGTAGGGACTTAAAAAATGTATACAAAGTAAACACAAAGGAATTTGGAAGCACAGTAACTGCTGGGGGGTTCAGGTTGAACAAGGTGACATTTAAGATAGGCTTTGAAGCGAGCTAAGGATTCCAAGGAGCAGTGGTGGGGGAATGAGGGAACACATTTTATGCATGGATTGGGATATTGAGAATTGTGTCAAGAATAGCACACAGATCAGTTTGGCTGGACCATAAAGTTGGTATAGAGGAATAAAGTGTCCTTAGTACAGAATGGGAGACTGGAGTCAGATCGTCAAGGACTTTCATTGTAAAACTGAGGACTCAGTTTGTGATTCTAAGGGCAATAGGGAGTCATGGGAGCTTTGTGAGCCATCAGCTATCTAGGAAGATCACTTTGGTAGCTCAGTGGAGGAGAGACTGGAGAAGAGAGAGACCAATAGCGAGGTTATTGTAATAGCTGAGGCCAGAGGGACTGAGGGTCTGCACGAGGCCAGCAGCCATGTGAGTGGAAAGAATTTTGACTGGGTGCCTGTGGATCAGCTGCTGTTCAGCCTGCGTGCCTGTGACTAGAACCCTGTGCCTGACGGGAGATATGCATATTTTAGCAACAATATCTGTGGATACAAAGTTGAAATAAGATCTATACTTTGCCCTCAAGGACTTGCAGGCTGTCTTTCTGATCTCATTGGAAATGACTTTCCCTCCCCTCCCCTTAAGTCCAGTCTAATTGGCCTTGTCTGAACAAGCCATATTCCATCTGTCCTGATCTTACACAGGCAGTCCATCCCATATGCCTGAAACACGTGCTCTTTTGACCTTTACCTTCTACTGTCTCACTCTTCCTTTGAGATACAGCACAACCTCCATTTCTATATCAAAGCTTCCTGAAACCAGTCCTCACAGATGCTAGTGTCCTTCTTCCCAAACTACGATAAATTTTATATTTACACGGTATTTTTTCTTTATCCTGCATATTTATGCATACCTGTCTTTTCCATTAGAACATGAGTTCCTTGAGAGTAAGGAACTATTTCATTTCTTCTACATGTTATCTTCATTGTCTAGGCCCCATGTCTAGTACATAATGTTTGGTCACATCTAACTCTTCATGACCTCATGGACCATCCTGTCCTTGGAGTTTTCTTTGCAAAGATACCAGAGTAGTTTGCCATTTCCTTCTCCAGTAAATTAAAGCAAAGAGAGGTTAAATGACTTGCCCAGGGTCACACAGCTAGTAAGTGTCTGAGGCAGGATTGAACTCAGGTGAATAATGACAACATCCTGACTCCAGGACCAGTGCTCTATCAACTGGGCCATCTAGCTGCCCCTGCCTAGTACACAGTAAGTTCTTAATAAATGCTCACTGATTGGTGGTTAGGAAGAAAACATTTGTACACAAAAGGCTGATACAAGAGAGAATACAATAATGGCAAAGAATTAAAGTGGCAAAATAAATTGTTATGAGAAATTCTAGGAGGCAAAAACCACTTTCAGCTGATAAGATCAGGAAAGATTTCATGCAAAAGAGAGCACAAAATAAATGCGGAACATACCTACAGGGCAACATACCGTCAACTTGTACAAAAACCCCAGAACTAGGTGATCAGGAAATAAAGTGAGGTATTTATTCAGGGTTGAGGAATAGCAATTCCCAACAATGCTGCCTTACTCAGACAAGGGTGCCTGGGGAGGGGAAAAGGGCATTTTTATAGGGAACAGTTGTGGGAAACATGAGGAGGGGATACACTGAACAGCCAAACTGCAGGAAGGGAGTGTTGCAGAAGTATCCTTGCCATTATCTCTATCGAGGGACAGGGGTGATTAGAACCTGCTGGAGTATGGGGAGGTGGTCTTCTTGGGGTAGTTAGAAATTGCTGGTCAGAGCAGAGATTCCCAGGAGCTGACCTGGGTGGGTGAGTGGGTGGGTGGGAGATGTGGTTAGAAACTGCTAATCAGAACAGGGTAGGGGGCCAGAGATTCCCAAGGGTTGACATTACTCAGGAGCAAACTTAAATCAACCTCAATCTTGTTTTGTCATCTGATACAAATCATTTCTGCTGATAGCTATGTCTCAGAGTAATTTCTACTTAGGGCTTGGTATTTACTTTAATTCTCCATTGTAGCCTAGCTTGGCACATTTGAAGTGGATGACCAGTAGCAAAATACTGGAAGTGGAGTCTTTTTTTTTTTTTTTTTTTTGATCTGAGGAAGCTTCTTCAAGGGAGTGGCTCTGAAGAGAAGGGAATATTTACTCAATCTTAGAGACCTTAGCGATTATTTAGTCCATCCTATACCTGACAAACACTTCCCTTTACCATATGCTCAACAAATGGTCATCCAGCCTTGCTTGAAGATCTCCAGCCATCAGGAACCACTACTTCTGGAGGCTGCCCATTGCACCTTGGGACGGCTCTAATCTTTGGATTTCTCCTTAATCTGTGATTTCCATCCCTTGCTCCTGGTTTTATTCCTGAATTGCTTTTACTGCCCCGAAATCCTCCACTATAAAGTGGAAAAAGCACTGGATCTGGATTCAGAGGTCCCACATTACAGTTCTGTAAAACACTTCATCTCTCTGGTGCTGTTTCGTCCTCTGTAAAATGAGAGGGTTGGACCAGCATGCGTGTTCCCTGAGCTTGATATTCCATCCCTTGCCTTTATGTCTTTGCACAGGTTGTCCCCTAGGCCCAGCCATGTCTAGAATGACTTTCCTCCTCACCTCTGCCTATAATCACTGCTTCCTTTCAAGGCTCAAATGCCACCTCCTCTAATAAGGTTTTCCAGATCCCTGTTCCCAGCCCCACTCCCAACTTTGTTGGTGCTCTGTCTCTCCACAAACTATCCTAACCCGGTACATATTTTATGCCCTCATGAGAAAGTAAGGTGTTTTAGGACCAAGATTCTTCGTTTTTTTGGCTTTTTTTTTATCCTAGGTGCCCAGCACAGGGTTTTCTACATAACAAGCAATTAATCCTGAATTGAATTGAAACCAAATTGGACTACTTGCTGCCCCTGAAACAGATCCCGTTCCCCCCGCCCCGTTCCCTTTCCCCCCTCCTTCCCTTTGCTATCATGTTTCCTGAGCTGGGAAAACCATCTCCACCTGTCGAATTCCTACAAGTCCTTTAAAGCCAAATTCAAATGTCAATTCCTTCTTTAAATCTGTCCTCGTTTCTGCAAAGTGGCAAAGTCTTGACTAAAGCTCAACTTCTCTTTGCTACTTCAAATATACCCAATAAACAACAAATATACCCAATAAAACAATTTTAAAAAGAGGGGAAAGGAGTGAAACCCTCCTAAAATAACTAAAAGAGGGAAGATACGAGTAAGCAAAAAAGGAACCCCAAAACAAGAAATCAACGTCAGAAGAGCAAGCCCGAAATAATACTCTAAACGAACACATTCCTTAACACCCCTAGCATGATTCAAAACGACAATGATAACTTTAAAGCTTGCAAAACACTTTACACACCGTCTCATTTGATTCCTAAACCATGCAGTGAGGCGGGTGCTGTTATTACCCCGCTCTTACACAGCAGAAAGCAGTCTCATAGACATTGCTCTAGACCACACAATGACCGCAGAATTTGAACCAGTTCTTTCCGACACCAACTCCTGTGCTCATTTCTCGAGATATAAAAGATCCGATTGGAAATAAGTGCTGCGAATTTCCTCAACTGTTTTTCCACCTCCCTCCCACCCTTTCCAGCTCCTTTTCGTGGTCTGCGTTTCTATTAGAATGTAAGCTTCTTGAGGGCAGGGGCTGTGTTTCTTTTTGCTTTTAATAGTGTCACCGCACTTAGGCAGCGAAAGAGAACAAGCGATTGCTACAAAGCACCCACTACGTGCCAGGCATCAGGGGTCTTTGGAAGCTCTCACTAGCCATAAGTGCTTTATCTCAGCTGGGCGCTCCCCGGGGGAGGGAGTGGTTAAGGCCAATCAACCAATGAGAGAGAAGGAAGAACAAACAATCGAGCAAGAGGCGACAGTGGGTGGGTCGTCGGCAAACCCCGCCTCCATCAGCACCCGGCCGGGCGGTATGACAGACCGGCTGCCCAGACCAAACGAGGGAGGAACTTGAGGTCGGAGGACGCGCCGCTCCTGACTGGGACTCAGACACTAGGCGACCTCTAAGCGCACTTTGGACACTGGCACAACGGCGCCCCGCCCCCTCCGATCTCCTCCAATCCTGGCAGGGTCCCGCGCTTCCTCCGGCCCTCGTACCGCCCCCCATTCCCCTCCTCAGCCAATCCCCAGATCATCGCCTCAGAGACGGTCCTCTCTCGGCCGCCATCTTGGGCTGCTATTCACATTCTCGCGAGATGTCTCTATCTCCTTCCCCACCACCCCAGGCTCTCGCCGGATCCTTTCTCATTGGCTGACGTCGCGGAACGCTATGCTCGAGTCGCCTCGCGGGCCACGGGGGAAGTCTCGCGAGACGTGGTTGCCTTGGCTCCCTGTAGCTATAGCAGCCGCGGCTAGTGAGGATGCGGCGGCAGAAGTGGTGAGTGCGATACCCTTGGGGGGGCGGGGCCGTAGGTAAAGGGGGGGGGGGGAGGGCGAGGGGGGGGCGGGGGGGGGGGGGGGGGGGGGGGGAAGAGGAGGGGCGGGATTAGGGCAAATGGGGCGGGGCCGGAATGTAGGGGGCGGGGCTATTCTGGACGCCAGCTAGAGGGTCTGGGGCGAGGGCCGGAGCCTGGGCCAGAGCGGCCGGGAGGGGGCGGAGTGGGGGGGGCGGCTTGGGAGGGTGCCCCAGTGCAGCCTGGTATGGGGAGGGGGGAGTAGGGGCAACCAAAGGGCAGCAAGGCACTCCATGCAGGTGGGGGGAGGGGCCGGAGTGCAGGTGAATAACGAGGTGGGTGTCTCAGAAGTGTATCAAGGTAAACTGCGCGCTCGATGGTGGACGGGGTGGCACAGGGGGATGTAGCCAAATATGTGATGTCATGATATCATTCTCATCACAGCTGGCATTTTTATAGCGCTTTAAGGTTGTATCAGCACTTTTCAAATATTATCTCACTTTATCCTCCCTGGGAGGCAGGTGCTATTTATTATTATCCTCATTGTACAGATGAGGAGGATGAGGTAGATGGACTTTAAGTGATTTGCCCCCAGGGTCAGAGTCAAAGAATAGTAGCAAGATTAAGGGGCAGTAGGGAGAACCCCTGCGGAGGAGGGGCTCGGCTGAAGCTTAGCCAGATTTGGGGAGGTGGGGCAGGGCAGGAGTGGACAGTGGATATTAGAAGAGCTGAAGTATAGGCAGGTACACCTGCTGTGGGGGAGGAAGAGACAGTGTCTGAGTGGGAAGGAGCCTAGTTGCATTGGGGTGGGACATGACCCAGGAAGTGAGTACCCAATAAAAGGAAAGAGAATACTAAGAGGAGGGGTTGATTTGGTTTACTCCATGCCGAATGTTACATTCATATTATCTCCCCACTTTAGATTGTGAGCTCCTTGAAGGCAGGAATTGTTTTTGCCTTTCTTTGTATCCCCAGGGCTTATCACATTGCCTGACACGTAGTAGGCTTAATAAATGCTTATTGATTTGGGGATTGATGCAAGACTAGAACTTTGATGTCTCAGATCTAGCTCTACCTTTGTCTTGTGAAGAAAACCTTAGGACTTGTGTCGAAGGTGTGATTGGTGTCAATGGAGACTTAGGACTAAGTATTTTTTCCTAAAAAGCCTTGGATGTCCTGGGATGTGAAAAGAAGATTGCTTATATGCTACAGTAATTCCTTACTGAAGATTAATTTGGTGTGGGGTATATGGTGTATTGTGGCAGCAAAGTGGTGAAGTGGATAGAGCACTGGGCCTGGAGTCAGTAAGACCTAAATTCAAATTTGGCCTCAGTTAACTACTAACTGTGTAACTCAAGGCAAGTCACTTAACCCTGTTTGCCTCAATTTCCTCATCTGTAAAATGAGCTGGAGAAGGAAATGGCAAATCACTCCAGTATCTTGCCAAGAAAATCCCAAATGAGGTCATGAAGAATCAGACCTAACTGAACAACAACAAAATGCAACATAGTCAAGGACTGTGGTGCCAAAAAACTGGAAATGACCACTTTTACTAGTATATTTGGGTTAATATTTGGAAAGATGTATATACTAAGAAGACATTTCTTCCTATACACGATAGAATTACTTTACAGTATATTTTTGAAATTATACATATGCTGTGAAATCAGTTCAGGTGATATGTCTGAAAGTACAGTACTTTTAGGAAGGAAACTCAATAAATAGTAAAAGTTCTTCTGTTCTTACAATAGTTTGAACACAAAATCTGTTAAAATGACTTGCTGTTACTTTATTATAAGTCTGGCATGTCAGAAGTATACATTTGAATTTTAACAATAAAGTCTTAGGTGGAATGAAATGGATTCAGCTTTACTTAGACATAAAAAATTGTTACTATTTCTAGAGCAGGAAAGGAAAGGAGTCTGCCAGAAGTTATACTAATATTAACCTATGAATGGTGGTCTCATTGAATCATGTGGATTGTGGTGTAGTAAAGTACTAGATTTGGAATCAGAGAACCTGGCTTAGGAAATTATTTAATGCCTGTGTGACCTGAGGTTTCTGGGCTTCAGTTTATTCCTCTTTGAAAGGATGGAGTTGGATAAGATTAATACTGAAGTGGCTTACAGCTCTGAATCTTGACTACCTTCATTGTCTTTGTATCTCCAGGACCCAAGGAGGCAGGTTATGTCTAGTGGATAGAGAGTTGGCTTCAAAGTTGGAAAGGCCTGGTTTTAAGTCCAGTCTTTCTTGCTTACTGGATGGGTGACCCCACTTCACCACCTTGTGCTCTGGGGCAACTCTTTAGGACTGTAAGGTGCAGACCTCCATTGGTAGAGGGAGTTTCTTCATCAGGGAGTTCCTTATAGTAATGAAATCCTAGGTCTAGTGCCATTCTTCTCTCCTCAGGGCTTAGCAATAGAGACTTAATAAATGCTTGTTGATTGATTGTTCGGTGACTCTAGAAGTAGAATTACTCTTCATGAGGCAAATTTGTATTATTTTGCTTATTAGGCAATATATCTTTTTATCAGTGTAAACAAGTTGTGGTATAGCACATGCAGAATTTATTCATTTTATTTTGTAATATTTAAGTACTCATTATTTGTATTTCTTTATTGTCTTCTTTTCTTCAACAGACAGAAACAAAAAAGTTTCCCTCCTTTTGGTTTGTAATTCTTTTATTATTCTGTTCAGCAAATAGACAAGTTTATTAATTAAAAGACAGCAGTTCAGATTCCTCTTTAACCAACCTTGGTGTTTTTGGACGTTAGACCTTGTTTATTTGGTAAGTTAAAGCACTGATTTTTCATATTGGTGCTCCAGTTCTACTAGACTAAGGGAAGGACTGTATTTTATTTAGCTTTGTCTTGTTTTCCATCCTTGAAAGTGCTACATTGTATGTAGCAGATACTTGGTGCTTATTGGTTGAGTTACTGAATTACCACTAACTTCAAAGCTGATGCTTTCATCTGAAGCAAGATAAAGATTTTTGGCCCAAAGATTTTTTTTTTATTATTTTGATTTATCAACAATCACTTCCATAAGCTTTTGAGTTTTAAATTTTTCTCCCCCTCCCTCCTCACCTCCTTCCCCAAGATGGCGACCAATCTTATATAGGCTATACGTATACATTCCTATTAAACATATTTTCACATTAGTGATGTTATAAGGAAGAATTAGAACCAATAGGAGGAACTACAAGAAAGAGAAAACAAAACAAAACAGAAGGAAAAAAATAGCAAGTAGTATGCTTCAATCTGCATTCAAACTCCAGAGTTCTTTCTTTGGATGTGGATAGCATTTTCCATCATGAGACCTTTGGAGATGTCTTAGATCCTTACATTGCTTAGAAGGGCTAAGTCTATCAATGTTAGTCATTGCACAATGTGGCTGTTACTGTGTACAGTGGTCTCCTGGTTCTGCTCACTTCACTCAGCATCAGTCCATGCAAGTCTTTCCAGGTTTTTCTGAAGTCAACCTGTTCATCATTTCTTGTAGGACAGTAGTATTCCATTACATTCATATACCACAACTTGTTCAGCCATTTCCCAATTGATGGACATTCCCTCAATTTCTAATTCTTTGCCACCACAAAAAGAGCTGCTATAAATATTTTTGCATATGTGGGTCCTTTTCCCATTTGTATGATCTCTTTGGGATACAGCCCTAGAAGTGCTGTTACTGGGTCAAAGGGTATGCACATGTTTATAGCCCTTTGGGCATAGTTCCAAATTGCTCTCCAAAATGGTTGGATCCCAAAGATTTCTTTAAAAAATAAAACAACCCACAAAAACAAAATTATAATTCAATTTAATTTTTTTCAATTAACAAAAATTTATTTTCTCTCCTTCCCCCACCTCCCCATTGAAGAAGGAGAGATAAAAAGAAAGACAGACATACATTCTTGGCTGTATCCCAAAAACATGCTTTATTCTGCTCCCTGAATCTACCAACCCTCTCTGGAGGTGGGCAGCATGTTTCATCATTGGTCCATTGGAATCTCCTGGGCGATTATTGAGTTGGTCATGATTCTTAAGTCTTTCAGAATTCTTTTTCTTTACACTGTTGTTGTGGTATAAATTGTTCTCCTGTTTCTGCTCATTTAATTCTGCATCAGCTCTTGCAAGTCTTGTCACGTTTCTTTGAGATTGTCCCTTTCAGCACAAAAGTATTTAATTACAGTCATATATTATAATTTGTTTAACCATTCCCCCTCTTACTTAGTTTCCAGTTCTTTGCTGCTATGAGAAGAGCTACTATAAATATTTTTGTAGATCTGGGTCCTTTTTTTCTTTCTTTTATCTCACTGGGTTATATAGGCCTAGTAGTATTGCTAGGGCAAAGGATGTGCAATTTAATAACTTTTTGGGCATGGTCCCAATTGCTTTCCAGAATGGCTGGACCAATTTATAGCTTCACTAGTAGTGCATTTATGAGCCTGTTTGCCTTCAGTCCCCCCAATTTTGACTTTTTTTGGTGAACTTTGCAAATCTGATGGGTTTGAAGTAGAACTTTGGAGTTGCTTTAATTTACATTTGTGAAATTATTATTGATTTGGATATTATCATTAAATTAGATTTAATGATTAAATTATTATCAGCTTTTGATAGTTTGGATTTCTTCCTTAGAAAACAACCCGTTCATTTCCTTTGACCATTTATTAATTTTCGAATGACTCTGACCCAAAGATTTCCACTTTGGTCCAGTTAAATAACCTATGAAACACACTGTATCAACTTAATCAACAAGTATTTATGAACCGTCTGCCATCTGTCTAGCCCTGTGTTAGGCATGAGATAATGGTTTTCCCTCTGAAGGAACTGCATGTACAATCTAGTTGGGAAGGCAGAACTAACAAGTATGAAATAATCATAGCTGATATTTACGTAGAACTGTCTCATTTGATCTTCACAATAACCAATTCCACGGACATTTGTTAAACATCTATAGGCAGGACACTGTGCCGACATGTTGGGGATAC